TGAAGAAAATCTGTCAAGTCTCATTTCATCCCTTCTCTTACTTATCTTAACCTATTCTATTCCTTGCCCTGGTAGCCAGTTTGCTTCTGGTGCCATGCAGTGTCATTACAAATATGTAGCACAGAGATATGAACTAATCCGCGATGGCCCAGTGGTTAGAATGATGTATGGCAGGCTGACTCTGCTGACTGCCAGGAGTTTGATTCTCAAAGGCTCAAGGTTGACTCAACCTTCTATCCGCTGAGGTGGGTAAAATGAGGACCCAGATGGTTGGGGACAATAGGCTGACTCTGTAAACCACTTAGAGAGGGCTATAAAGCACTGTGAAGTGGTATACATGTCTTAAGTGCTATTGCTAATCCGCATAATGAACAATTTACTTAATATTGAGAGTGGGATGAGATTGGCAAAAACTGACTTGCTGGAAGGCCTTCATTTTTTATATATATTATGTATAATTATTACTTCTTTAAAAAAAAATTTTTGGGGACCAACTAGATAAAGTAATCCCTCAGGTTTGATGATAGAATTCCCAGCAGCGTTCTTCACTGGTATTTAATGAAAACGTGTATAGTATACTCAATATATGCAGGTGGGAGGAGTCAGGCATAGGTAATCTTTGATGATCATATGGTGGTACACTTTGATCAGATTCCCTATGATTTTTACATTGTGCATCTGTCCGGTTTACTTGGGAGCCATTTTAGACCTGCTGCTGCTTATTCATAGTTCCATAGTTTGGGGAAGGAATCATAAGAACATGTGGTCTTTTCCAGGGTTATATCTGTAGCAGTATTAATCTAGAAATGAGAAAATTTAGAAAATTTCCGGGGGTTGAATGCATCTGAATGAACCTCCCCTCTCTCTCAATCTAACTCTCCTCATTGGGAGACTGTCAAAATATTGGCGGGAAAATAGAAACAAGCTTTCCTACATTTAAGCTTTTCAACATTTAAATCAGTTACAATAAGCAAATCGAAAATTATTTCTAAGAATTTCTAAGAGCCTATGAAAGTTACAAACCACTTCAATTTCGGGGGACTCCCTACTTCTTAAGATCCTATAATCTATAATTAACTATTAAGGAGCAGAGAGAACAATTCTTTTCTATTGTCCTAAAAAAATAAATGGACATAACTATTGGGTTGTTTGCATATTTGAGTTTTGCAACTTGCTTTTTTATGCTTGCACACCTGTTAGTTTGCGAAGAAAGGTCTGAACTTGGTCAAGAAAGTTACATGAACTTTACTATTATTGTTTATGAAAATAGCAATTATCACCTATGAAAACTGACAAGGGGGTGATCCATAGATTGGCTAACAAACTGGTTCTGGTCACAGCTCAAACGTTAATGGGAATATTCAAAATTGTTTTTCTCACACCTTTGTTCTCCCTCTGCCCCCCAGGTAACCTATTAGAAACTGAAAGTTGTCATGGAGAACAATCGCAAGAGGAAAAAGAATCCTTGCTTTCAAAACATCTTGATGACAACCAAACACCTTCAGCATTTTGCATTCTCTTTTAGAAAAGTTCAGCCATTACCCTGTGGGCTTTCGTTGAGTTCTTGTAATTTTCTCAACTTCCTCAGACTCAAAAGTGGTTTATATNTCAGAACATATTACTATGCATCTTCTTGCTTTATAGGTGGAAACCATTGGTGATGCCTACATGGTCGTAGGGGGAGTTCCAGTCCCAGTTGCCAGTCATGGTGAAAGGGTGGCTAATTTTGCCCTTGGCATGAGAATTGCTGCAAGAGATGTTATGAACCCTATTACCACTAGACCTATACAGGTAATTCACAGTTTAAAGACTTAAACATAAGAAAGAGATCAAGCTATTTCACTTACAGCAGAGAGAGAGAATTAAAACAGCAGGGACCAATTATTGCTTTTTTCTTCCAATGGTCTCCCTTTATATGGCAACTTCATCTGCTAAATGTTGATGTATATCATATAAGGAATAAATCTCTGGATTTGGGTTTTTTTCATTCCTCAGTTCTCCTTCCCTCCTACAGGCATTTTTTTAAAATCGGGAGCCTGCTGAGTGGGGATTTTATTTTTGTTTTTTTCTAAATTTGAACGGAAACTACTCCCAGTAGATAAATAAATAACTTCCAAATCAACATCTGTTAAACTGACTAAAATCACTAAATATAAGCAAGCCAAGCTTTTCATTTCCTCAAAAATACTTAAAATATTTATTTGAATAATTCTGTGGTGTTTTTAATGATAACCTCCTTCTAAGGTGGCTAAGATACATAAAAAAGAAAGAAAAAAATAATAAAGACCCAAATTATAAACAATGCGTAACAAAACTTAAAACACAAAATCAATCCCAGTTCTGAATGAGGGCCCAGGTGGAACAATTACAAGGAAAAGATTGTTTATATAAATGGATCTCAGGCATGATCCTCATGTTAAGTGATAAGTAACACCAAAAAAATAGTTAAAAGTAAATTTTGTTTTTTTTTCCAGAACCCAAACTGTCAGCCTGCGGGCTGGATGCATCACGCACACACAACACCCACCCCAGCTTCATGAAGGGGAAAAACATCGCGATATGTCACATGACAGCAACGTGACGCCGCGACTTTGACACCCATGCACTAAGGGAATATATTTCCACGAGAACCTCTTCCATCATGTGGCTTCCATATTGTATTTTTCTCAACAGATTAGAATTGGGATACACACCGGACCAGTGCTAGCTGGTGTAGTTGGGGAGAAAATGCCCAGATACTGTTTATTTGGTGATACCGTCAATACGGCTTCCAGGATGGAAAGCCATGGATTGCCAGACAAAATCCATATCAGTTCAACAACATTCAAGTAAGGAAAGGCTTGCAATGAAATACCAAATCCATCAGACAGGAACTTGACCATATACGGATTAAATTTCATAATCTGCTTTGCATATTGTGCTAAGCCCAAATATGGTTTGTTCGCTTATAACTTTGTGCAGTGCTAGCCAGCTATGGCCAGTTAGCAATAAGTCATGAACTCTATATGTTGTTCTTTCTTGCACTGCACAGAGCACTTCCTCCTCAAGTATTTGAGACAGTGGAAAGGGGAACCATAGAGGTGAAAGGCAAAGGGAAAATGACAACCTATTTTCTGAAACAAAATCTCAGTGCTACTGAGGATGAAATAATGGGACGGTTCGAAGAGACTTTTAGGAATGTTCATAGCAATGGTATGTAATATACTCTGTGTGTGTGTGTGTGTGTGTGTGTGTGTGTGTGTGTGTG